AACCCCTGACGACACCACCCCCCTTCTCCTCTCCTCTCCTCTCCTCTCTTCTCCATCCCTTCGTCGGCGCCGATCCACGCTCGAATTCTCACCCGATTAAAATTACAAAAAAGGCAAAAAAAAAAAGAAAAAAAAAAAAAAAAAAAAGTCGTCTTCCGCAAACCCCCGACCCCCCTCCCTTCTCCATCCCGATTAAAATTACAAAAAAGGCAAAAAAAAAAAAAAAAAAAAAAAAAAGTCATCTTCCTCAAACCCCCGACCCCCCTCCCTTCTCCATCCCTTCGTCGGCGCCGATCCACACTCGATTCTCACCCGATTGCTCATCAGAGTAAAATCCCATAACCAAATTCTTAGCAAAGTTTCCAACCACAACTGAAACGAACCCAGTTACAGCCGTAGAGAAAACCTTCTCGAAAACCCTATCCGAAAAGCTCGAATTCTCCAAACCCTTCCCCGTTTCACTCTCATTCTTCACCTCCAATTTACACCCTCGAATCATCCCAACTGTCATACCCTCTGTAATCCTACTCAGTGACACAGAGAACTCCTTCGACCTGGCAATTTTTGAAATTTGCTTTAAACTTTGGGGCATTTCGTCCGAATCAGAACGCAGAAATTCCTTCAAATCCCCAGAGACAACACCAATCGTCTCGCCGAATCAGAGACCATTTTGACCATAGAAATTAGAGCTCGTACGAGCTTCAGGAACCTCTTCCTCTTCCTGGCCACGTGGCGGCTGGGCTCGCGCCGATTAAGGCGGATTGGAAGCCCTGGAGTCGCAGAGAGAGGGAGAAGGTGAAGAGGAGTGGATCGGGTGGAGGGGATGGAGAAGACGAAGGGGGTGCAGGGGTGCTCGAGTGGAGGGGATGGAGGGAAGGGCTGGAGAAGCGGGGGTCGGGCGTTTGAGGAAGAAGACTTTTCTTTTTTTTGTAATTTTTTTAATTTTTTAATGTTTAATGTTTAATTTTTAATATCCGTGGATCACACGTGGCGTTTAATTATTGCACGTTTTGACGAAGCTCCGACCCGAGAACCACTCGGGTCGAGTTCGAATCCACTTGAACACCTGCAAATCAGATCTAATAAATCCGCCGTTGCTGTTCCGCACCACCAACTACCACTATCGGAATCTGCTTCCAGGTTCTGAGGAATTGTCTGCGCCGCTTCACTTGACAACCTGCACCGTACCAGCTGCTCTGAAATGGCACCGCGACCCGCTTACCAGTGTTGCTTTTGCTTTGTTGATTATTATTATTTTTTTTTTTTTGGTGAGGAAGAAAGGAAAAAGAAAAGAGAGAACAAAGGAAAAAGGAAAAAACAAGGAAGAAAAAAATAATAATAAAAAGAGAAAAAAGAAATAAAAAGTTGGAGGTTTTTTGGCCCACACGGGCAAAGAGAAAAATATGGGCTGTTTGACGCCATTTTGGTTTGATGTCTTTGAGATCCACACGAGTTGTTGGTCTATTTGGAATTGTTTTGTAATCGTCATTTGAATGCTTAGACATGTGATCACTCGAGTAATAGTACTTTATTTTTATTCGTTTGTAGCTACAATTGAGATATGGAAATCTTGTTTGTTTAGATACGGGTTCTTTTCATACTCTCAACACTAGCCAATTTGAATCAGAATCAGTTTGCCAGCCACAATCAGCTTGCCAACAAGAACCAGTTCGCAAGTCAAATCAAGTCAAATCAAGTCAAGTCAAGTCCAGTCAAGTTTGCATGCCTGCCAGTCCACCTAACGGATCCAGTCCACATCTGCTTGTTTGCAAACCCATGTTGTATATTGACATGAGTTTGACTGGGGATGTTGGAATATATTAGTATTTTAGGTATTATATTGTTTGGGTTTTCTTATAAGTTTAGTTTGGCCTAGACTGTTAGTATTTAGGTTAGGTTTGTTCGCTATAAATATAATGTTTCGTAGCTTTGTGGAATAAGTTAGTCACGATGTAGCCTCTTGAGATTTTGTAGTCGTTTCGACATTCTTGTTTGTTTAATAATTTTCTTATTATTTTGTAGTCTTGTTTGTTCGTAATTTGATATTCAACTAACCGAACCAATAACTTGCTAAAATTTCATCTTTAAATTATTCTGAACTTGTTCCCTGCCATATCAGAAGATGGAAACAAACATTTCTGCCACACCCATTGCTATGGCAAGCTATAAGCATTCATCAAATTGGATCCATGATCGGCATGATGTTAACGACCAGGAAAAGTACCCCTTGTGTAGAGGAAGAGTAAGAGAGCAATGACCAAGGTGGCTAATAGCAGGATCAGAACCAGCATCATAATCTCCCCGTGGAGACCAAACCTTGAGTCACTGATGGAGGGGAGAGGTTCATCGTTTTCAGACTTGTTGGGAGCCAATGAAGGTGATAATAATGGAGCACTTGCCATGCTGAATAAAACTTAAGATGTAAATTAATTTCCTTTGGCTCTAGGAATTTAAGAGATTGGTTCATGTTGCGTTTCATTTGTTAATTGATTGGTTGGTCCAGTACTTGGTGGTTGAGGTAATATTACCATGTCTGGATGTGAAAAATGAGGAATCGAGCTGACGAATCTGCCGACAGAAAGAGAATGCATGAAATGTACTATACTACCATCAGATTGCCGTGCAGACAAGCAGGTTTTGACACAATGTTTGGCTACAATCTAATCACACATCAAGCTCGCAACTATATGCCAATAAGTACGTCTACTGTCTATACTATGTCATGTCCCCTCTCAACCAGCCTAATGTACGTTAATGGACTTAACATGACTTAGGGGTGGTTTGTAAACACTTTCGTAGGAAGCATCTCTAATTAACCACATTGAAAAGAAAATCAAAGAACAATGAGAATTGAGAAAGGTGAACGAGAGAGAGAAATGAAGAGGAAAATAAAGAAGATGAATGTGCTTTTTCACTATTGATTGAATGATTGTTCGTTACAACACATAGCTTATAAGCTACTTATACAAACAAACTACTTATACACATATAACTGTACTAATTCAATGCACAAGATGCTGTCACATGTCACTAAATCAAACACATCACATAGTGACACATCACTTAATACTCCCACTCGACCATATGCTTGGATATCAAGTATATGGTTGGAACAAAAAAATGAAACCCAAACTCTACAAAAATTGCCCCAATTCATCAATGAATAGTAGTAAGGGCTTATTGCAGCTGCAAGGCATACCATTGTTGGAACCCAGATGACTCAACTAAGGAGGTATATGATGCATTTTAATCCACATTTGTTTGCTTTCTGTTACAACCCTTAATAATACTCTTCTACTAGCCTTCTGAAGTATACAGCTTAAGAGTATGAGACGGTGAAGCCTTTTTGGAACTTCGTCTGTAATTTGTGCCTCTGTATAGATGCAAGTCTGAAGTCAAACCCTGGTGACAGACGGCAATCCAACAATCTATCAACTCTTATATCAAGATCATTATTCCCCCTGCTTCGAACAAATTGTTTCCATATCAGCAATCCAAGCAACAATTGTTTTTTTTTTTTTTTTTGGAACAACCCGAATTCCTTCTCCATTTACAGCTCCTACGCCTAGTCCTAGCACATGGTACCATGTTGCAAAAAATAAAAAAATAAAAAATTAAATAAAATAAAAAATCTGGAGATGAGACAGATACCACCAAGAGGACCAATCTGTCAGTAACTCTATCGTGGGAAGATCCGCAGCATCCAAATGAAATACCAAAACAGCTCAATACAGCAGTTGTAACATACCCTCATGCCAGTGATAGATTTTGCTAATTTCAGAGAGAAAAAGAGAGAAGGCAGTCATGTTCTAACTATTTATAATAGGCTAAAGTTCATATGGCATTCATTATTGATATATGCTTAATAAATAAAAATATATTCTTCATAAGGTTCAAAACAAAAATAGGCTATTGATATATGGCTAATAAAGTTTTAATTGCCATTATGGTCTACTAGTATTCCTCTTCACTTGTAAGTAAGGGATATTAGGTTTGATTCTCGCCGAAGGCAAAAATGAACCACATTATTGTCAATCCATTGTGAGGCTAAATCCATTCCCCCTCCCTTAGATTAGATAATATCATTTGTTCAAAAAAAAAAAAAAAAAAAAAAGAGTTTTAATTGGTTTTTAGCTAAATAACCTCAAAATAAATATATACACTATGATATGTTCACGGGCTCAGTCCAGAAGATAAACTATGACGGATATAGCCCGATTGAATACTATCTTTGCTGATGTGTCCAACCTCTCTGTTGATGCACTCATTAACTAAAATATTGCTGGGAAAGAGAAAAAAATAAAAATAAAAAACCCAAAAACCAGCCCAGACCCATAAGAACGAGTTCGAGAACATCAGCAAAGTGGCTACCCAGATTGAACTGAGATTCAGTAAGCAGAAGTGGCAGCAATGTTTCTTCGTATGTCTGTACGTGTATGAAGATTGATTGTCTGCAATGTAATACCAATTTACAGTTAGACTAACTTCATTGAGGTCAATCAAATATCGATTAAATATTGACTAAGTACCGAGTATTGTTGATCGGTAATAGTTTTCATGTAACTTTTAATATTAACTGATGTAACAGATAACACAACAGTTTTTAATTAGTTAATAAATGAGGTTCACAATGGCCCCGAACCAAAAAATTCTTATCCCTTGAGGTACATTTATATTCCAACATCACTGTTATTCCAAAGACATGATCTTGATGGAATATCAATCGAATTTGGAATGAGTTCTGCAAATTATGGCCCGTACACGTTGTGGAATCCATGTAGCAAATTGCAAGCGTACGTGGTCCTCTCGTACTTTCACCATATTCGCAAGTCAATTTGTTGGCTTAAAATTTCATTTTGGTGATGGGTGTTCAGATGCTCTCCCAAATTCCGTTCCCTATGCTCCTATAGATATTTGTAGCTTCTTTGATAATGGAGGCATGCAAAAATTCAACGAATAATTTACTTTAAAGCTGTTTTGCCTATATATTGAAAAGAGCATGCATATAGTTGGCCAAAAATTATAAATGGCTAGCATAGAGGGTTGGGGAAGAAGCCAAACTCTACATAGCCTTGCCAAGCAGCTTGAGTTTTACAAACCTCCCTCCGCACCGGATAAATCCGAGGATTATAATGAAAGCGATACATGCTTAAACTCCGGTATAAGCTTCAACTCTTTAGCAGCCACAAATGAAAAGTGTTCTTGTGTCAAGTTGAGATTGAGAGAGAGAAGAGCGGCTGTACTGGTATGCATCTTTGAGGGTCCTGAGGGTGAGCTAAGAGTTATTCTTACTAGGAGATCCATGAATTTGGCATCACACCCAGGTATAATATGCTAAATTTGTTGTGAGGGAAGTGATTTAAGCACGCTTGTCGCATGCCCCTATCTGTTTCTAGCCTTTTGATTCTCCAAGGATAAATAAACAGGAGGTATGCAAAGGGAAAAAAAGAAAAGAAAAAAGAATGTGTGGAGATCATTTCTTATTTGTTAATAGTCTCAAATTAATGTTATAGACTTGGCCACGGACACTAGGGTTTTCTAAATCTGTTCTAGAGATTACACAGGAGATGTAGCATTGCCGGGAGGAAAAATGGAGAAGGAAGATGCAGATGAATCTGCAACAGCACAAAGGGAAGCCATGGAAGAGATTGGACTGAATCCAAGTCTAGTTCAAGTTGTTGCAAAGCTAGAGTGCTTTATGTCCCAGGTACCACATACATATATAAACTCTCTCTTTTTTTCTTTTGATATACCGGTACTATATGAATCGTGCTTTTGAATGTTTTTCTCTTTTTTTTTTTTGCCTTGTGCAGCATTTGGTCTCCGTTGTCCCGGTGATAGGGCTAGTAGCTAGAATTGAAGATTTCAAGCCTGTACTCAGCGCCGACGAAGTTGACGCCATTTTTGATGTTCCATTGGAGATGTTTCTCAAGGTATATTGCCCTGCACAGGTCACAGGCAGAGCATGCATATGTCAATTTACATTATTTCGTCAAAAACTTAATTAACGGTGATTTATTTTTGTGTAATGTAGAATGATAATCACAGATTTGAGGAGAGAGAATGGATGGGTTGGAAGTATATTCTCCATCTTTTCGATTTTGAATCAGAGCAGGGGCCGTTTCTAATATGGGGACTAACTGCAAGCATTTTAATTCGAGCAGCCGCTGTTATCTACCAGCAGCCTCCATTCTTCCAAGGACACAGCCTCCCTGACTTCCAAGAATTGCAAAGAGCCTTGCATAGTGTGCATAATGTTAAACATGAGAATAATATATAATACTACATATGTTGGAGAAAATAAAACCATAAAATTCAAAGCCTTAATTGATACATCATATTCCGTGATGTCATTCAACGATCAGAATGGTTTGGCTTTTAGATTCTCTTTCAACAATTATCTATGCTAAAAGTAATCAACAATCAACAAGCACTTAGATGTTTAATTATCAGCATTTCTATTTCAGCTTTATCGAACAAACAACGTTTTGGCATGTTTGAGGTGACCAAACAATTAAAGATTTAGGTTTTTCTAACAGAGATAATCCTAAAGACCTAAAATATAGACAACTTTAATCGTTAGATTGCATTATGTGACAGCCTTAAAGAAGAATTCTCATAAGACTTATAGTCCTGAGACCATAAATGTATAATAGGTTAAGGGTAAGTGAATAGTCATAATTTGACAGAAGCTTCTCCAAAATATAAAACTGAAGGACAAGGTTTGCATAAAGTTCGTTGAAATTCAATTATGTATAGCTCATATATATGAATGAATGCATTCCGTTTGGTCATGTTGTGGCAAATTCAAACACCTTCTGGTCATAAGCTACTATTTGTTCGAAAATCCGACAAAAATGATTTATTCTTTCAAACTATCGCCAGCATCCGTGTCTATATAAGCAGACTTACATGAAATGTTTCCTTTGTACATGCGCCGTACCATGCCTTGTCAATTCTATAGAAACTTCGCCATAGTTTCATGGTGGAAAAGTCGGTGCTCAAATAACCAATTTTTTATATTATTGTCCAACTTTCAAACACCATCGAGCATCTCACTATTTTTAAAAATTAATATCGTCCATCAAAATTAATCACTCATGCAATTTAACAAGTGTGAAGGTTTTATAAAAAAAAATATTGATACAATTACCAGTGAAAACGTTTAGTACTCTAATAAAAATGTAAAATACCATGAAGGGTGTAATTTGCATTTTTGGTCGAAAAAACTCTCCCATATTGGGGAGATATATAATATAGATCTTGACCAAAAAAGTACATAAGAACTTAAGTGTACATTTTTTTTTTTTAACTTTTTTTTTTGTAAGTCCTAACAATAAAAGAGAGAAAATTAATTAAAGAAAATCTTAAATTTACTCTCTCGCATTAGAGTGAAACTCTAGTCAACCTCTCTTGCGAGTATAAAATATGGGTTCCAAGTCTCACTAAAATCAATTACACGAGTCAAAGTCCAACCCCATTAATTCCCATTAGAAGTGAATTTCACACGAAGCTATCTATGAATTGATCAGAACACAAAAGCTTAAAGTCCGTGCCTTTTCTTTCTCTTTACATCTAATTTACCAACCAAACCAGCTCCACAACAAGGATTACAGATTAATACTAACTAGCCAAGAAGGCAAAGCTCTTAGTCCCCGAAATTTGGCCATGGCCGGCATAACTAATGCTTATAGTGTAGAAACCCCGGCGGTTCCGTCGTGGCTAAACAAAGGAGACAACGCATGGCAACTCACAGCCGCCACTTTTGTTGGGTTACAAAGCATGCCGGGCCTAGTGATCCTCTACGCCAGCATAGTCAAGAAGAAATGGGCAGTAAACTCAGCCTTCATGGCCCTCTACGCCTTCGCCGCCGTGCTCATCTGTTGGGTCCTCGTAGGCTACCGTATGGCCTTCGGGGACCAGCTCCTCCCGTTTTGGGGTAAAGGTGCACCCTCTCTAGGTCAAAAGTTCCTCATCAGCCAAGCCAAAGTGCCCAAAAGCACTCACTTTCGTGACGATGGATCGATTGAGACCCAAACGGTTGAGCCATTTTACCCCATGGCATCACTCGTCTACTTTCAGTTCACTTTTGCAGCTATTACTCTTATTTTGTTAGCAGGGTCTGTTCTTGGCCGCATGAACATCAAGGCTTGGATGGCTTTTGTCCCTCTTTGGCTTCTATTTTCATACACTGTTGGAGCCTTTAGTCTTTGGGGTGGTGGCTTCCTCTATCATTGGGGTGTAATTGACTACTCCGGTGGTTATGTCATCCATCTCTCCTCGGGCATCGCAGGTTTCACCGCCGCTTATTGGGTAGGTACTTATGATTAAACGCGTTTTAGAAAATATCATGCACATAAACGAAACATCAGTAGAGAATCCTTAAACCCATTTTCAAAAATTGAAACCCTTTCTAGATCAAATTTGACCTATTTGAAAATGTTTCTCTAAAAAGCACCTCATAAGCGCTTTATTGAAAATTTTCACTAAAATTTCAAGTGCTTATTTCTTCAAAAACGCTTAAAAGCGTTGGCTTAATTTTCAGGTGCTTTATAACACATAAACACTTCTATTTTGTTTTTCTGTTACTTTTGATTATCGGTTTTAGTCATTCTATAAGAACTTCCAAACATCTTTAATTTTAGAATTTGAACTAAGTTAAAAAAATTTAGATGTAATTATACTACGTTTACCTATGTGTTCTAGGTTGGTCCAAGGTTGAAGAGTGACAGGGAGAGGTTTCCACCAAACAACGTGTTGCTAATGCTTTGTGGTGCTGGGATGCTGTGGATGGGCTGGTCAGGTTTCAACGGCGGGGCCCCTTATGCTGCAAACATTGTTGCTCCAATAGCAGTGTTGAACACAAACATCTGTGCAGCCACCAGCCTTCTTGTATGGACGTCTCTCGACGTTGTGTTCTTCGGCAAGCCGTCGGTGATCGGAGCTGTTCAGGGCATGATGACGGGGCTCGTATGCATCACACCTGGGGCGGGGTTGGTGCAGTCTTGGGCGGCTATTCTGATGGGAATGCTTTCTGGTAGCATTCCATGGGTCTCCATGATGGTCCTACACAAAAAGTCTACCCTATTGCAAAAGGTAAGAGTTTCTGCTTTCCACATTCATTGTTTTTTGGCACATGATACGCATTGTGTATTTTCTTTTCAATGTCGGCTAAATATTTGTTTTTCATGTTCATATTATGCAAAATCATGTTGTTTAAAACTAAACATTCTGATGTATTCATGTCCATTGAATTTTGTTTGATTTATCAATTTAATAATAATAAATTAAAAAGACAATAAAATTGTGCATGATGAGAAAAAATATGTGATAAAATTACTTTTATTTCAGAAAATTTTAACTCAAGTGACATTTGATATAATCGAGTTAGTGTGAAAATAAAGAATCTTAATTAGGTTTAAGTCTCCATCAAACATTTTAATTTGTTTTATCTTTAATTCATAAAATATTCATCAAGCTGATTTTTTCTGTGAAAAACGGAGCTAATGCCCAGAACATTACGAGATGGCACGAGGCCAAGAAATACCTAAAACATCATCGTTCAAAAGGAACCTAATATAATCAGAGGGCCACGATAGATAATATTAATCTATCCCAAATCTCTTTGCCCTAAGCTTTGTAGTATTCAAAATTTTCAACCTTATATTGTCCCACCAAAGTCATAACATCCATCATTTTCCACTATACTAGTATATTATAATCCTTCCCTTATCCTTCAAATTTGTACCTTCATCGAGTGCAGATTGACCAAATGAAATAGCCACCTTTCAGACGATTAGGTTTTCTAGAAGATTTCCGTTAGTCCTCTGTCCTCTTCCCTTAATGCTTGACCAATCATCAATGAACAAAATATCATAAATAAAACAAAAAAAGAACGTATTTAAGTTAGGTCAGTTGGTTAGGATAGCGTATTTGCTCTTTATACCAAATTTCAAACCGTTTTTGTAAATTAGAATAACGTAGAACATTGCCTTATTGTCACATAAAAAAATAAAAATCTTACTGTGTCTAATTTGTGATGATTTACAGGTGGATGACACCCTAGGGGTATTTCATACACATGCAGTGGCAGGGCTTTTAGGAGGACTGCTAACTGGGCTTCTGGCAGAGCCAGCACTTTGCAGGCTTATGCTGCCTGTTGGCAACAGCAGAGGTGCATTCTACGGTGGCGGTGGAGGGATGCAATTTCTGAAACAATTGGTTGCTGCCATGTTTGTGATTGCTTGGAACATAGTCTCCACCACTATCATACTTCTGGCAATTAGGGTTTTCATACCTCTGAGAATGCCGGAGGAGCAGCTTATCATTGGAGATGACGCCGTTCACGGAGAAGAGGCTTACGCTCTTTGGGGTGACGGAGAAAAATATGACCCGACAAGACATGGTTGGAATACATCGGTGTATGGTGAAGAAATGGCACCGTCGCCGTATATCAACGGTGCAAGAGGTGTGACCATTAACTTGTAAACACCTAACTGCACTATGTCGGATGCACGTATCGTATGATCACATAATTAATATGTACGTATTTGTTACCTGTAAGTAGAAGTTTTGAACAATTTTCCACTAAATCGTTTGAAATTTGAACGTGATTGTGTGATGGGATGATTTCGTCCGAGTTTTGAGACTGTAACACATGTGACAGACGACCACGGTCAAAAACATTAAGTTAAAATAGTGTTTGTATGACAAAATCTCTCCTAATATTCCATTTATGATAGCTTAGTCCAAATTTGACCACTGTGGAGACATTATTTTCAGACAAACAATATCTAATTCTTTCAACAGATTCAGTGCACGACTCTGTATCCATAATTGGCGGAAACCTTGCATCAATAATTTAAGGTCATCAAAGCAGCATAAACGACCGATCATGGCAGATTTTCTATGGCCTCAACAGTAGTACCCTGCAATCAAGAACTCGACGCGTGTCGTTAACCCATTTGTCCACCCAATCCTATATCTCCGGTCAAGAGTGCACTCTGTTCAATTTCTGAAGCAGATAACTCTTTTAATACAAGCAACACTGGGAGGGGGAATCGAACTCAATACCTCGAGCGCAGGAGATAAATGCTCTGTAAAAGGAATATAAGAAGACAAACAACATAACACGCAAAACGAATCAATTATAAATCCAAAATATACCAATTCCATTTGATCTGAGCAGATGGTAGTTTACTTTACAGTGCTTTAAGGCTGTTATACAAACCCTTGAACTGTGAAAGTGGGTACCAGTACCCAAAAATAGCTACTGTGCACGCTAAAGTATCTAATGTTCCACTATGAATCCTGAAACCCAGAAAAGCAGAGAGAACTTTTGGCTAATCGAAGTGTTCCCATTCCTGATTTGGTTCCGTTGATGATGGCTCTGGCGTTGACGTTGGGGGATCTAGGCATCCAACTCCGGAGTCAAAGGTCTCCCACTTGGTTGTTACTGTGGTAGCATTGCTACTGTTGCTAACTGGATTGCTGTTCCTCGCCTTTAGAGCATCCAATGCATCCACAAAGTTCTGGACACGTCGCACCTGTACAAGAAAGTTGTTAAACCAGCCATAATAGATCTCTAATCGTCTATGCAACTTCAAAATTTTGAAACAAATTATAAACTAGCCATTACATATTGACATTCCAATGTGCTTATTGCAACAAATAAATTTTAAGCAGAGAGAGAAGCGAGAAAAACCTATAAAACCTTGGGATTACAGTCCTATAGGTTTTTTGGAGAGAAGAGGAGAGAGAAAGAGAAAGGGGGGGGGGGGAGGGGAGGAATATTATAACTATTGGGATTTCGAAGAGAGGTAACTGATCTCGTAATGCATTAAAAATCTAATAGCTCCAAGTGCAGAAAGTAATGGAATTCCATTTGCAAATACCAACATCAACACATATAATGCTACTCTAGAAAATAATGACGTCAAGTGTAAGACACATGATACATAGCAACCAACGAAAGCCAACAATGCTGCTTATATTGTGCAATCCTTTAGTTGTTTCAAGCAATACAATGAAATGATCTATGTGGTGGAAGCCCTCAAGTGGAGTCTACTATATGTGAAGATACTGAAGTTGGGCCCAAAGGACCAGTATAAACTGACTACTAAGGGCAATTGTGTGTCCTATTACATATGTAATGGGAATGACTATAGCATATAGGCATGCATCCAACCTTTCCTCACAAACTATTTACAAGAAACCTGGTGGGGCTCTATAAATTAACACCAAGGTAGAATCCTAAATAGAATCCTGATAATGAATCTTTTGATTGTCCTTTGCCATCACTTCACATTGCTCCAATCACCCTGACCATTGGCAGGGCTACCATCTCACCACCAGAATACGTCAATTTTGACACAATGCATGCCACAATAAAGAAATTCTCACCTCCCTATATCTATAAACTACAACAACCCTCAACGCCGATGATCACAACAACTTCATCGTGTGATCAGCACAACACAGTACATCATTTCCACAAGAACAAACAAAATGCATGGCAATTCCATCATAAGAAACCAACAATCATGAAAAATACGAACCTCTGCCCTGCGTTGCATTTTTTCTTCTCCTTCAGCTTGAATGCCGTCCAATTTCAGCAACTGCCTCATGAGCAACTCTGTTGACACAACAAATTCTTTATCGGAAACCTTGGTCCCACCAGCCACAGCCACTTCCAAGACAGCAACCTTTTAAAATCAAACAAAACATTGTGAGCCCCAAACCAATTTAACATTTTGGCAACCAAATACAACCAGGACATGGAACTCACCCTCTCTGCGAGCTTATCAACCTCAGCTATGACTTCAGCAATTGCATGAGAAGCTTTTGACATCACATTGCTTTTGCCTCCAACCTGTCCACCATTGTTTGGCATCTCTTTGCTGTTTACTCCAACTTCTCCAGCATTGATTGGCATCTCATTGCTTTGATTTACCTCCTCAACCTTACTCTCCTTCCGGGCCTCCAGAAGCAGCACCTTGGAGTTATTCTTCACACCAGCAATGTCCAGATGCTCCTCATCTGCCTTCTCCACCCCCCTGAAAAAGAGCCTCTGCTCCTCTGGCTCCAAATCAGTCTTCTGTGCAAGATGTTTCTTCATATCACCTGACATCATCCAAAATAAAATCAAGTACTAACCCCTCACAACTCTCTTCCATTATTAAAAACACTAATTTGGAGAAATACGGGATTTTCACTAAGAAGCCCTTGATAAGGATACAATTAGATAAAACACTTAAAAACCCAAAACTTCAGAAACAATTCCCGGTCTTTGTAATTTGCGGACACCAAAGAAATTTCACAACTAGGAATCACTTAAGGCTATCAAAAGTAAGGGAGAATTTTTTTCCCCAAATTAAGAACTTGACGTATTTTCATACAAAACTCATAGTTGTCGGAATGTTGTTCCTAATTTACCGAATACCACTCGACCCAACTATTATTCCACTTCCCCCATGGATTATATGTTGCTTGGTGAGGATTATGCTTCTTCTTTTCTTCTATAGTTCGATTCTCGAAGTGTTCATCCCTAATATTAGTAGTTGTCAAGGGTGCTACACTAATTAACTAAAACCCATCAATTCCAATCTAGCTAATCATGATTTACTCTCGAAATTGGCAAACAATACTTCAATTAACCATTGAAAACAGCAATCAAATCATAACAGTGACAGTGAATATGATTAAAATGGAAGATAACATCAGGAGTGAAAGAATAATACCGAAAGTGGAGTGAGCAGGGAGGAAGAGCTCGAAGTGAGGCCCGTTGCCCGGGCCGAGAACTACGTCGATCTTCATCATGGGCCCCCGAAATGAGGCGGAAGCACTGCCACCAGCAGCCGCCGAGGCGTCATCCTCGTCTTCCCGCCTCTGGACCAGCATGCCACCTGGGCGCATCTCCCAATCGATCTCCTCGTCCTGATCGGGTACCAACGCTTTCGGATTCGGATTCTTTTTCACCATCGTAAAAAATGAGGCGGGAATCGAGTGGTGGTGGTCGTGAGGATGTTGACTAGTTAGCGACAGAGTGACGGTTTGAGGGGGTAGAGAGAGATGATCGGAGGGTTTCAACGAAACGCGTTTCGCAGAAGGGTGTGGTCGGTTCACTCCATCATTCCGAGTCCGACGTCAAAAGGTTTTTGAGCGGTGCATTTTTCATCACATATTTTGGGGGTGGATTTCGAATAACCAATAAATGTGGAAAATATACTTCGGGAGTGAGTAATAACTAACGAGGGAGTAAATGTAATAAAATTCTCGTATATCAAATGTTATAGTACAAATGATTTACTATTAAAAAAAAAATTAACCACATGTGCTAATCTGCAAATTCTTTTACCATCATTCTTTTTGTTAGTAGCATTGTTAAGTAATGCTTTAAGAAAAAGCAATTTGTTGTTTCGCAGACAACCAATAATGCTGTTATTTTTTTAAAAGTACTTTTGATGTTAAATATAGTGTTTGGGTGTCACAAAGAAGAGATCGGGACTAAGAAAAAAATTTTAAAACTAACTTTTTATGTTTTCAGGACTTAGGCATGGTTTTTTAGTTATTTTTAAGTCTAATTTCTAAAAACGGTTTATCAAAGAAGAATTCAAGATTTGTGCCCCAAAAACAATTTTCAAATTGAAAAACTTGTACTCAAACAGAGTATCAAACATACCCTAAGCAATTTATGATTAATTTGACAAAACATTATGTATTTAACTGCTCCAGTTGTTGAAAAGAAGCGTATTGACTAGTTAATTTATGCTTGATTTATCCGTTTCTAGGTTTAAAATCTTCTTTACATTGTGTAGCCACGAAGAAAAACAAACTAACCATCTTATTATGAATTTGCCAATTGTGACTTTGAAAGGTCAGCAACGTTATGTGAATTGTCAAATGATTCATAATTAAAGACAAAATGGTTATTAAACGAATTTCGAGCGTGATTTTGAAATAATAAAATAAACTGTTACATATATGAAACAAGGTGTAGTCATACATTTGTAACAATTTTTCACACGTCTGTGTAAGTACTAAATTTGGGGCATCATAAAGAAGAGGATAAGGTGTTTTATTTGGGGCTCAATAAAATTTTGTTGGGAATTTCAATCCGGACAAGGAAAAAGAGCATTCCATACCACAACTATATAGATTAACTTCCCTCCGGATAAGATTTGAAATGATATTTGGAGGCTCCTCAAACTCCAAAATTTTGTGACGTAGATAAACCAAAACGCACCATCCTATGACGCGTCACAAAGTAAAAAATGATTACAAGCGTGAATCTTTAAAGAACTAAAATCTGGAATCCACCAGTTGTTTGAGAAAAATCCCAAAGACTCTTTTTTTTTATTATTATTAAAGATTGAATTGATGATTACAATTATAACATCCACGACTTAAATATACAAGTCATTTACAACTCCTTTCGACAACTCTAAAGCTTTGGGAATCAAACGAAAATAAATGACATTAATCGGACAGAAGCGAAAGGTCCAATCTTTATTACAGAAATTAAAACTGTGTATTAGAGGCTGAAACGGTCTTGGATGGCTAAAAGGTATTATAGGTCCAAATCGAAGCTTAGACGCCAAACCTGCAAATTCTTGATGCATCCTTTTGTCTTCCAACGGTCCATTTTTCTTCAATTCATTCCGCCATTTGTTCGACATCAGCCTATGTGCCACTGAATTCGCTGGTCTATAATTTTGCTTGTTGAGATCAAAGTTTCATACCAAAACTAAAAGAAATAAGAAACAATTAACAAACACAGAAATAGGCAAGACAGATTTCTGAAACTTTCACATGTTTGCACCACCTCCAGGTAAAGCCAAAGTCTCTGGATAAGTAACTGCTTCAACGTCGTTTTCGTCGTCAGCCTCGATGATAATTCTGTATGTTTTTTGCCTGGGATTATAGATCACCAAGATCCTTCCCTCATGATCCAGCAAAACTTCACCACTCTCGAAGATGCATACAGGCATCACAGTAAGATCACAAAAGTCAACAAAAATCTGTCTAGCTAATCTCGTTGATGAAATTTTCGCGACTCTTGTCCAAGATTCCTTGACTCCATATTCCTTCATAATCCATATCGAAAAAGTTTTATCCTGGAGCGCTGAAGTATACACAAAGAGACAACCTTGGCTGGTCCCGATTCCGACGAAGATATCTCTATCGTCACGTTGGGGCAATGACAGTGTGCTCTTAAAATTTTCTTCTGCTAAATCAAAAGAGACGATCTTAGAAATTCTTCTCTGAAGCTGTATCCAGTGAAGAGCTCCATTTAAGAAGCAGCCCCGGTGATCATTCTTCTCAAGATAATACGGGTCTCGACAAGTCCTCCATGAATTCGTTTTGACTGTAAAGACATATATCATGGATCGGAAAGGCTCTTCAGTTGAAGTTGTACTGTCACGACTGCCCAATATTAACTTGTAATCTTCAGCGGAGGAATCGTACCCTAATCCGTAAAATATCTTATTACGGTCAACATAAGGAGGTTCCGGTAACACATTGGTATCTCCGGTGGAAGGGTTCCATAAGATAATGTTGTAAGGGTATTCGCCAAAGTCAATTTCTAGACATACCAAACCGTTACACGAACCCAAAATATCGATAACCATATCTGGTTTAATTACAGACGGATACTTGAGCACTCTGGTTGAAACAACATCATCATTATAGTCTATGGAAAGGAGATCGAGATGGTCATCGGACATTTTTGCAACGAAGAGCTTGATGTTGTTCTTGCTGGTGTTTGTGACCGTGTTTCTCTGGTGTTGCGCAACGAACTGAGGATTGGAGATTACATGAAGCCATGGCTTGCACACGCACCGAAATCGCATTAAAGATTTAACCGGCAGCCTCGAGAGTATGTCGAGTTTGACTTCATCAGGGAGACTGGGCGCCATTGAATGGGAAATTTTGCGAGACGTCACAAGGGTACTGAACAAGAATACCAAAAGATTAATATAGACACACACATACACACAATACTCTTTGCTCAACATTAAACTGAACATATCGCACACAATGCTCTTCACTCAACATTAAACTGAACATATCTAGCTAGGATTTTATACAGTGGGAAACTGAACCACGAGTAGTTATGTTCATGAATCGGCACTCACTTCAACAGATACCAAAATGATTATTTATGGCTCATTTAAGATTCACTTATATAGAAAACGCTTATGCTTGTAAGAGTTTTTGCTAGAAGTTTTTTTATTAAAAATTTGGTCTAACTAGAATTACTCTTATTAGAAACTATTTGAAATTTTTTACAAAAATCTAAGTGCTTCTCAAGTTCTTTTGACAACTTATAAAATTAAATGATTATTTCAACCAAAGATCGATTATGCAATTGAACTAGCTATTCAAAATAAGATAATATTACTAGCTTCATTATTTCTAGAGATTAAACACAAGCAGCGTCTTTCAGCCATAAAAGTTGTAAGATCCTGAATTCCTCTCCCCTTAATATTTTAATAATTCAATGTAGATTATCCTAAATACAAAAAAAAAAAAAAAAAAAAAATCAGTGTACCCAGAACACGAAGTTATTATAAGCGGAGGGAAATTCTATTCTTCAAGTGACCCTCAACTTATTTAATGTCATATGGTATACCATCCCGTATCTCGGACACGTTAAAAAATTTGTCATCAAATACAAAAAACACGCACAACAATATATACGCAATAAATAAATAATAAGAGGAATATGTGAGATACGCGAATTTGCACTAGAACTGCCAAACTCATCTTAGGATGTGTGAAAAAGAACGAGAGAATCACATGAAAACAAAACATGGAAATAATTCTAGAGATAAATGAGCTAAAGGGTTTAATTACCTCAACTTATCGCTTTATATGGTGATTGATATTCAAGCAGGTCTGGAAACAAATGAGTTATAGCTAAGGAAGCCGTTAAGCAGACCCAAAAGTTGAATCCATTATCCACTCCCACTAGGTTTTTGAGTAGTCTCCAAGATTTCCAGCAACTGGATGCAAACCAACAATACTTCACCCAAACTAAGATAAAGGCTCACTCATGACTGTTTTTTCCTCTTTCATTTGTAATAAAATGATAAGAAGGAAGTCAAAAATTAGGGGAAGAGGTAGGAAAAGAAGCTAGTGAAATGTATAAGGTGTCAATAGCACTTCCAGGAGTATGCTTAATTCCTTTGCATATATATAGATTTAATGGATATGTGATTTGAAATGAAATGAGAAAGAAATGAAATAAGTTACGCAATTTAATTGTAGGTTAAAGATATCTTACCTATTACGGAAATAAGCAAGAAATGAAATAACTTACGCAATTTAACTGTAACGGTAGGAAGAAGTGTGATACACCCTAAAAACAATTACTCGAAAAAAGGACGTTGAAGACCCAAAAGCAACAAACGCCTTTTACCAGAACAGATATATTTTCAAACTAATAGCTTCAAGATAAATGGTCACTTAGTACTAAGGTCTAGTAGTATTCCTCTTCACTTGTACGTGAGAGATTTTAGGTTTGATTCTCATCAGGTAGCTTGTTTACTACTTGGTGATTCCAGGTTTTGTAACTCTTTAGAAACCTCGGTCAAACAGAAGTGAAGATTATCGTGTTCGATTAGCTGGAAGTGAAGCTTTCTTACCTTACCCAGGAAGTTACTTTTCGCAATGCAAGTAATGTTTATCAATTATTTAAGTTACCAGCACATAAAACGTGTAAAATAGCGTAAGTAGATTATTGTTCTTTAAACTATACAACGTGAATCGATCGGCTAAACCATTTTCGATATTTTTTAAGTAGTCTAGAGCATAGACGGCTCCGATCGTCTAATAACAATACATGCTCGAAAAAATAAAATCGAAGGTAGAAGCATAAGATCCGAACAAGAAACTTGTTAACTTCTCTTGTTTCACAATACAAATCATACAAAGAAAACAAAAACTATTTGGAGTCGTTATTTATTTAACTAGCCGAAAAGTCTAAGGTGCAGTTTGGGATTGAGGTGCTTAAAAAAAAAAACCTACTAAGAAAAAAAACTATGAGAATTTTTGGTGTTTGGTAAACTTTGAAAAACAGCTTTGTTTCAAAGTTTGAGGTGAAAAAAAGCCCAAAACCTGAAGCTGACAAGAAGCTGCAAATAGCAGCTTCCAAAAACAGTTTATTTTCAAAACACACGGGTGAACAGTGTAGGTTTAATCAAATATTGAATAACCCAAAACTGCCCTTAAATCCAATGGAAATCTGGCCCTTGGTCCCAGCATCCTTGACATAAATCTCGAAGTAGTAGACGAGCCGCTTGACCGGAGCTGGCTTGTTAGCCTGAACTACGCCGACGTCGTGGCCGTGAAGATTGTGTTGGAAATGTGCCCTAAAACCAATCATATGATGATACTTTATGGACATTTCACATGTTAAACTAATCTAGTTTAATATTAAGGACAAACATTATTGTTTGAGCCGTCTCATATAAATGTTATATGCTTAAACGATAAGTCCAAGGAATATGTGATTGGAAGAATGCGATCTAAAGAAGTTAGATTCATGAGACCATTTTTTCGTTGACACATCCTAAACGTTCCTGATCATAGGATTGTCAATTGGGCATTGACAGTCCGTTAAGATCAGTACGTGCTATGTCTTCTCTCAGGGAGAGTGACTAGTCTCGAGTCATTGGTGTGTGTGACATCAAGACAAGTACATAGGTGCTCAATAGAGAATGAGTTCACTGAACACGATCAACGAAGAGTTCTCATATTCATGTCACATGAGAACTCATGGTTGGGATAATGCAAATTAGTCTTTTGACCTGAGGCATCACAGTTGTCTTGTGGTTAGGTCCTTAATCTTTGATTATATCAAAGTCACTCCATCAGGAGGGTGTCCATGGCATCGTTGGGGTTAAGCCACTTAGCCATGGAGGTAAGTGAATGCGCAACAAGGGATCTCTAACCTTCAAACTGTTTGAGGGAGAATACTCTATGATATGATTAAGAATCTTTGGCCAAAGTATGAATGAGATTTAGGAATGTGTTCCAAATCACATTCAAGGTAATCATATAAGCACAAGACTCACATTGGATAGTAAACATGAATAAACTATCAAACCAAACAATGTGGTCAAGAGTATTGTATTAGAGAAAGACCGTATTGCATTTGTAATCCTAAAACTGAATAGGTTCTCCACCTCTTCTGATTAGCTTGGGTAACCATGACATGCTGCTAGGCGTCAACCATGGTTTGTGGAAGCCCTAAAAGTGTATTATCACTAACGGGAGAATTGAAAGTAAGTTTCAATTCACAATCGATTAGAAAGAGTTTTAATCACCCACTGCCTCGCTAAAAGGAACCTAATGGATCGTTCACCGAGTAAGGTAGAGTTTGAAGAAACAACGGAGATGAGTAAGAATAATTAAATGGTTTAATTGTTTATCTAAGGCTAGGATTAATTAATATGTTAATTAATCAAACGAATAAGTTCGTTAAAGACCTCGGGTTAGTTTTTGGCCGCAAGGCCCAATGGGATTTGAATGTCAAGCCCATTAACTCAAGTTGTATGACAACTTGAATAAACAAAGGGCTTGAAAGCCCAATAAACCCTATAGGCTTGCCATGTTAGAAGAATAGGACTTTTGGTCAATTAGGTCACTTATTTGAAGGGACTATATAAAGGACTTTATAGCCTAAAATTTACATATGGTATTTTTTGGGGAAATGATGAGAACACAAGCTCTCCTTTCTCTCTAAAATTTAGGCCACCTTGGAGGGATCATCTAGCAATCAAACTCCTCCAAGGTCACTCATTTCTTCTTCATTATGCCTTGGTGATGAATAATTAGAGGTTCTCAATTTTGGGAACTTGGAGAAACCTTTTCATCCATCCAAATCCATAGATCTAAGATGCAAGGAATGAAGGCCCTCTCTTTGGGTGATTAGCCTTTGCTTATGCAAAGAGGAATCTACAAAGGTATTAATTTCTCAACTCACTTTGTTTTGAGTTGAGTCTTGGTTCACCTATCTACTAGGCTTTGAATTTCATGGGTAAATGTTTTGTTTTTAAGTGCATACAAGCATTATTCCGCCTTTAATTGTTAATTGCATGCTATTGATGTTGCTTAAATAAACATGTTTTTCATAAATTTTCCTTCAAGTGGTATCAAGAGCCTAAGTCTAGTAGTTGGTGAATCCTTTTGGGTTTTGTAGTTCATAGTTTGTGATTTGAATGTTGTAATTGTTACAAGCTTTATTCTTGCTTCTTTGAATGTAAATTTTGTTAGAAATTTTGCCATCTCAAATGTTGTAGATGTAGTTTATATGAGCATGAATTTTGGAGCTAAAATTTGGTGCCATGTTTTTGGGGAAATTCGGCCAAATCCAAAGGGTGGATTTTTGGGTTCTTATTTGACTTGTTAAAAGTGTTTTCAAGTGACTTTTGGAACCCCTATGTACCCTAGTATGGTTGTATGTTATTTCCCTTAAGTTTGAGTGGTTTTGGTATGTTTTTGGGTGAAGAATGTTCATGGAGCTCTTATGGGTTTTCATGAATGTTCTTCATTGTTCTTAATATGTTCTTGCCAAGAACAAAAGGTTTGGTGTTTTGATTCAAAGTTTTGATTTATTTCATAAAGTTTTTGTTTTGAAATATTTCTTATGTTTAAATATATTAGATATTTGTTTTGAAAAATTAAAGAAATTTTAGTGGGTAGGTGTGTAATGATTTATTCCATTACACACACCCCACTTACAAAAACTTTGAAATTTTTTTTATTACTTTGCTTCAAAACAAGCCACCCTACTCAATTAGGGACTTTGTGGGGCTTTCATGCAATTACATAAAGTTTTGATACTTTTGTGTATTTGTACTTTGACCTAAAAGTTTACGTTTTTACGTAAAGGTCCAAAATCACTAAAAGGACAAATTGTTTTGCTCCTTTAATGAAGTTTTAGTTTTTGTGGAAATTTTTTGGGTTCTAGTTGTAATTACATGAAGTAGTGGACTTTTGTGTTTTTACAAAGTGACCCCAAAAGTTTAAGTTTTGCAAAATGGCCCAAAAAGTTGAGGTCATAGCATTTTGGCCCAAATTAGGTAGAGAACAAAATTGTTTTGTCTCTTTAAATGAGAATTGGATTTTCATTTCATTTAGCTCCATTTAAATCAATTCTATGGATACAAAAACCAAATGAAAATGTTGCATTCAAGTTTAGTTAGTTAAAGCGTTAATTAATTAAAGAAAGGGTGATTATGAACCTTAGCCTACGATAATTGAGCTATGTGAATGGCCGTTTCAAATTTGTTTGAACCATGGGAATGTGTAGATTAAATTTTGGTTGTAATTTGATATGATCAATTGTTGTAAAAGAGCATAAGCTCTTCTTTACTTTAAAGTAATTTGATTTGATCAATTGTTGTAAAAGAGCATAAGCTCTTATTTACTTTGAAGTACTACTTTCTTGTTTTATTCGATATGCATGAAATTGGAGTGGTTGGGTCCAACGCCCAATAAGACAACACGCCTTAATGTGATTAAACGCGTAACTAGAATCAATCACCATCCCTAGACCGAGATTCAACACTAGGCTCGTGTTGAATCGAATCAAAGGTTCATAGTCATCCTAAGGCCCTAAGACAACTATATAGTCCATCAATGAATGCAAATCTTATGTTAGTAGTATCATATACTCTTACTTTAAAAACCGTTTTAAAAGCTTAGTGGGAGTATTATATACAACTAAATTAATCAAATGGACCAATAGTTGTAATAGGACCAAAATGTTTTAATTGGATTAAAATGTATGTTTATATGTGATGAGACCTAAAAACCCTCAACCAAATCAATATTAAGTTAATAAGCGAGAGATGCTTTGAATATCTCTTCGTGGCCTTCCACCGTGGTAGGCTCCAATCGTTTGTGACTTGTACACCGGCTTCACCCTATCATGGGGGAGTACAAAGTGCATGCTTACACTCAGGAGGAGTCTATACGCATATGATGAGGTGAGTGTAGGCAACGAGGATGGCCAATATCATATCATTGTGAAGCTATTCTTGAACCCCTTCATGAACTAAGCATGGTGGGAATAACTTAACTAAGTGCAATGGCGCCGATATCATATCATTGTGAGGCAACATTCTCTAGAGGCCAAATAAGA